ATCTGAACGATCAACCAAACCACAGCTTACAAAGTAAACTGCTTGGAAACCTTTTACGTAAGACTGAAGCACGAAGCCGACTTTTTATAAACTCTACCTCAATAATATACCAGATTAACTTAAAAAGAACGACATTTGAGTTTCTTGGCAGTTCATCTAAAACTGAAGCCTGACTTAATGGTAAGGTTAAAAAATAATATAAATTAACTTGTAAAATTAGCTAAAAGTCTTCTAAAGTTAAGATTTAATCCCAAAAATTATATTTTTTATAATTATAATCCGCAGTTTAGTATTGATCGTGTGATATACATAGAATGTCTATGCCGATCAAAGATATTTATGAACTAATTTTCTTAATTATTTCATAAATATAAATAAGCACATAAATAGACGGCAAATGGCGAAAGAATAATATTTCTGTCAGGATAAATTCTGTATTTACTTTTTGTTGTATAAATATGTACGCACGTGTCTACAGGGACAAAAATGATGTATGCATATAGGTAACTTATATATACCTTATAATATAACATTTTCCAGTTCAAAGCATCCATTATTTTATTTATTATTTTTTTCAGACTACCATTATCCACTATAGGGCAAAAGCTATCAAATTTTTAATATAAAATACAAACATTCTTTGGCTGGTTTGCGGTTGAGAACTAGTTACTGGTATGCAACTGTTTCATAGTGCAAAAGTTCATTGCCCCCAATGAGTTTTGGAAATCCTTCGCTAATGGACTTATCGACTATATGATAGTCGCTTAAGTCATCAAGTTACCATATTTTGAGTTAATGGTACCGACTTCCTATTATATTATATTTAATATATCCTATTAAATAATGATCAATTACACTAGAGAAGTAAGCAGACATATTAATTACAGAAATACCTAACCTAAGTTTTTTTTATAGATACAGATAATAAAAATGTAAAAGTTATTCGCTGCAGTTTTAGATATTTCTTAATTTGTTTAACATATTGCCATATATCAATATTTAGTTCTTATTACAAAGACAAACAAAATAATTTATGTCAGACCTCGATTTTTCTATTTACAAATGAGTAACAATGGATGTAATGGTACAGTTCCTATACATTTGGAAAAGTGCAAAACTATGTTATTAACACAGTTTTACAGAATCTATTGAAAAGTTTACAAATAGCAGATTCGTGGCGCTGCTAATAATATACTACGTATGTAATGACAGTGCATTTGTAATTTGAAAAAAAAAATCCTACCAAAAATACAAAGGTTTCTTGTGTGGATGGATTTATGGAAGTTTGATACTGGGTAAGTACAATCTAGAACAAATGATAGCCTAAATTACCACATAAGTTACTATTCATTAATTAATTAAATCCTCCCGAATACTCTGTGGCTAGTACTCAATGATAAAAACGGGGACAGTTCGGAAAACAATTTCTTTTTGGTATTCCAATCCAACAACGAAAGCCGATCAATTTTGCATACTCGTCACACTAGATGTTGTTTACAGTATACAGAGAACAAACTAGTACTGGGACTACCTTATCGGTGGTCGCCTAGTGGTTTGTATTTCTCAACTCGGTGGCATTTTTAAAATATAACATATGCCTACCCACACAAAAAACAAACACGTTACCTTCACTAAATTAAAGGAATATCGATGATTTATGCAGCCGAAACTTTAGAATCAATAATAGAATTGACACAATTATTAGACTTGTTTTTTTTTTGGAGACTTTACCTGTAATATGTTTTATGATGATAGTGTGTAATATACACTGTTTTTAAATTAATTCATGCACTTTTCATATTTTCGTCGAAACTAAACGGATTATGACGTTTTGCAATCAATAGAATTTATTTGCGTATTGGTTCAATACAAATTTTATAATAAATCTGTTTGAGAATCTACAGTACAAGATAAAGTCGATCATCTGCCTAATAAATTATACATTTCGTTAGGTATTTACTAACAGTCAATAACATTTATTACTAACAATTACCAATATCAAGCATTGCGATACCGTACTAATTACATTTGCGCCTGTCATTGAGAATTTAACAGTTTACCTACTATATTTAATTTAAAGTAGTAAGAGTAGGTCACGTAATGTTTGTAGGTTGGACAAGAATCGACGTTGAATACTAAAGAAGTACTTACAGAAAAGCGATTTGTCACGGCTGCATTGTGTAGCGTACTTTAACCTAAATTATTCGAAATCATGTCATTACTCTTGAGGTTAAATACTTATCTATGCAATTAATACCATAACGCATACCATTATTTTATTAATTAACATAATGTCATCACATTAGAAATTGTTTAATTAAGTATATTATTCCTTGAAATCTGTGGCGTAATGGTAAGTTGTACTTTATAAAGATCCTGGGAGATCTGGACGGGCAATGTCGATTTAAAGATTGAAAATCGTTGTTGTTTGTTATCTATCAAAATAGTATAATAGTTTGAGCTAATATGCTTTTATTTGCATTACACAGTAAATAAAATATATTAATTACCGATTAAAATAAGTAATATATAAAGATATAAGTAACAAATTAAATTAATGTTTTAATATTTAATGGCCGATAAGGTGTTATGAAATTTTAAATATGTAATAACCGATTTAACACATTACGAAATATGTAGAAACTTTTACATGGACTGCTTGAACTAATTCAAGCAGCACGTGACGTTTATCGATGTTGCATTAAACGTATTACAACTCAATGTTATCGATTCTGATTTAATCAAAAGAGTTTTTCTCAGTAAACTCAATAGTTCGTTTCTTACATTTGTTATGTTACGGGTAGGTGTTGGATAATCCAACAAAAATAATTAATAAAACGTTTTTTTAATTACTTTTATAACTTTCAAACAGAGTACTCTGTATTCTCGATCGTATTACGATCATCTTGTTGTTTTTTCTTTTCATATTATTGTTTTTGATGGTATTAAAATTATTATTAAAACTAGCTGTACCCGCGACTTCGTCCGCGTAAAATAGTGACTTTGACCAAATAATAAAAAATATATATTAATAATCTAACCCAATAAAAAAGTTTCATCGTTCTAGCTTCAAAAATGAAATTTCCATACATAATTCCATACAATTCAATCAACAGCCAAAAACTAAGTTTCAAACTACTATCTTTAAAATGAAGATACTACATATACATACATACCATACATACATTACATCTCCCCTTTCAACCCCTTATAACCCTTTTTCTTGTTTTTTTTAATGCTACTTATATTAGTGTCATCATGTACCAATGATAAGATGTCGCTATACTGTAACCATTTATGGCTGAGTCCTGTGGCGGTAGGTACTGATATTTTCTCAACAGCCTAAAAAATGGGTTTCAAGTTTCTAGCTTTAAAAAATGACAATACATGCATACAACATTTTAACTCCCCTTTTGACCCTTACAACCCATTTTCGTTAATTATATTTAATGAATACGCAAGAAAATAACATTGAAGCTTAAACTTTTAAAAAATTCCTCTTTCAGTCTCTTATAACCCTTTTTAGTATTAAAAAGTAACCTATGTCCTATCTCAAGATCTAGACTTTAAATTTCATTTAAATCAGTTATATTAGTAAGGTATTTATTAAATAAACTGACCCAAAAAAGCGTAAGAAAAAAGCTTCATCGTTCTAGCTTCAAATATGACGAATTTCCATAAAAACTTTTATCTGCTATTTTATTTTACCCCTTGAATGGTGACAATATGATATTTACAAATTTAAATGTCATATTTATTTATATTTAATAAACAGTTTAAACATTTCTTTAAATTCTTTTGAAAATTGGTGGTCCAGTTGGCCAATAACATAATAAAATTTTGTTAAATCAAAATAATATATGTGATATTTTAAATTGCAAACTATCCCTCTACTTGCGCGAACCATATCTCTGACTCTACTGGCCAGAATGGAGAAACGCGTATTCCGAACCTGAATAGCTCGGATGGAACGGTAGATGTTGTTTCTTCCAAGGAAATGTTGTTCATATGTATTGACAACATTTTTAATATTATATGTTGTTTTATTCTTCAAAAATATTAATAATATGTTCTTACGCTCTTGTCCAAGAGCAGGGTCATCGGTTATAGGCTATACCCGGATTATATTTATGTATTTATAAAATAAAATTGCAGAGCAAACGTTTATTCATTTAAATTCATAAGGAGACAACGGATTGACAATAATCAGTTGCGCGCGCTGCTTATACAAATGACATATATGTTTATTTATGACATATGAGCGTTAATAAGTCGCATATCTAGTACAATACTGGTGTAATTCAGAAATTAAAAATTTTTGAAAATAGACTTAATAACACAATTATAAAGTAGACTTTCCAAAATATCTAATTTTTTAGTTAAGCCATTATTATAATAAGTGTGTATTCAACCGCATAAAGATAACCTTGCATTACCATTTTCAACCCCTTACAACCCTTTTTTCGCATTATAAAGTAGCCTATGTCCTTCCTCGGCGTCTAGACTATATGGGTACCAAATTTCATTTAAATCAGTTCAGTAGTTTTGGCGTGAAAGCGAGACAGACAGACAGACAGACAGACAGAGTTACTTTCGCATTTATAATATTAGTAAGGATATAATTAAGTACGACTTTATTTACGATTTTAAGAATTTTTTTGCGATACAAACTGTAGGTACATGGTAAAGACAGATGGATAACCGTATTAAATTCACACAAGTATATAGAATATAACTACACCTTTTTTACTGTTGGGTTCTTCCACTTCATAACACCATTTTACGTTTCGGCTTCGCGTTTTACGGATGCATTACAAATCTTTGAACTTCTCGGCTTGTTCTATGTTATAATACGCATTTATTATACATATAAACCTTCCTCCCTAATAACCCTATCTAATGCTAAAAAGTGAATAAAAATTTGTTATGTAATTTCAGACATAAGCGAATAAACTGCGGTGTAGACTTTGTTTTATACTATGTAAACATACAAAACTCACCCTGTAAGCTAGGAGCAGACGCTGGCGCTGCTGGTGGGGGCTGTTGGGGTGTTGGTGGTAGTCTCCGTCTCCTCGGTGCATGCAGTCCCGGTGCTGATGCAGCTCGAGTGGCTGTACGGAAACCGGGAGCTCGATAGCGAGCCGATTTCACTGGCCCTGATGGCGCGGTGTTGGTTCCCGTGATTGACGGTAAACGTGGTAGCGAACCTGATCGCTGTTCCTCCTCAGACTAGAAGGACAATATTATAATTACTATCAAATCGTGTTGTTTTTAACTACCTAGATTATATTCGTGGTTTTGTTTGGGTTTTATAATAATAAATAGATAATAGATGTGTGTGTATAAAATTTAATTGATATACGTTCGGCCATTTGGTCGTGAAACGATAACAAACACATATAAAAGTTTGGCATTTATAATGTTCTTATCGATAACAAGACAGGTCACCTGACGGAAAGTAATAATGTTGATATTTAGACATGAATAATTGGATGTATACACGCTGTGTGTGAGATAATAAGATTGAAATATTTGGGTATTAGTTTATGCATATTTTTTTTATTCAAAGAAAAGATAAACTGTATTATTATATTACTATAAAAGAAAACTATCTGTTTAAAAATTGGGAAAGATATCGTGTATTATTGATACAAAGATATACATTCTAAACATTATTTAAGTGTAAATGGAATTACAAGTAGATATATTGTATATTCTACAAAAAATAAACCGCGTTGCGGCAGAGGTTGTGCTTTCTCGTGTAAAAATAATCATCAAAATCAGTTTACTTTGTTTGTTGTTTATTTTAAAATGATATTTATTTGTGTAACATAAAAATAGAAAGAATTTTCAATCAATTTTTAATTTGAAGATTTCCCATTGGTTTATTTCATATTATAGTAATAACAGTGAAAAGTAATAGAAAATATTGCCTTTTTGCGCCATTTGATTGATTTATATGGAATATACGTATGTATGTATGTACTATTATGTAAGTTTAAATGGTTTTATGTAAGTTCTATACATTCCTTCAAAATTCGTTGTCATGATTTGTTATTATGATTATCAATGACTGACATTGATATGACGAAACGATAGGTATCTACGTAACTTCTACGTTTATGTGATAAATAAATATTATCTATTTAGATGTAACTAAATTATTGTAACTGAAACATTTTGACATCTAGTTCATAGATTATTTTTAAGATATTTATATAATTTAGCAATGTATTCTTACCTCTGCATCTGGTGCAGAAGCTCGTCTCCTCCCACGCCACAATCGATCTTCGCTGCCACCGATGGCACCACAGCTCCGAGAATGTGACTTTTGGGCTGCCAAATCAGCACCAGCTGGTGATCGCCTTGCTTCACACCCTGGGCCTCCTAATGTACCGCGTGAATCCGTCGCAAGTAATGCAGATTCAAAACTACCTCGCCATGAAAACCTCTCACTATCACTAGTAACACTTCCTCTACTTGCCGTTGGCTCCAGAATGTCGTGGGATCGACTCCGTGCCAATGCTCCTGGTTCTGATGCGCTATCATCATCGGTACTAGGAGATGCACCGGCAGATACGTCATGCATTAGAGCTACTAGTCTGCCTCCTATATGGCGCATAACTTTCCCGAATAATGGTGGAGAACCTTCACCCGCACGTCCCAGCGTTGCTGCTAATCTTTGATATGCTCCAACCGCATCTCGCTCCAGAGACCCAGCTTCACTATTACCACGGTCAAATTCGTCAATTATTTCACGACAACTATCCGATATCTGTTTTCTTAATGCCGATCTAGTGGCTGCGTTACCCTCTAAATCAGATCCAGCATAATCCGATGAATCATACGAATCACTCCATGTATCTTCACTGGACAGATATTCCACCATTTCACGTACTTCCTCGTCTCGTATACCAGGTACCGTTTTCATAAGTCTTGTTAATTCAGTTTCGAAATATAAAAGTTGAGGCGGTTTTGGTGGCCGCGAGCTTTCTGAATTGGATGATACGGAAGATGTGGTTTTATTATTTGTAGAATGAATCATTTGCTTGAAAAATTGTCTCATTTTTGACATCATAAGATTGGTTTCCTCGTCAGAGGACCAATTATTAAAGCTATCCTTACGTGTTAATGAACTTGAAGGTGGATGGGACGAGGGGGGGCCCTCTATACGATCCTCAATGTCGGGCCTTATTTCTTCAATTATTTCTTCTAACTCTATTTTAGGTTCGTGAGATCTAGTAAACTCTGAACTAGAATCACCACTTCTTAATAAATCATCACAGCTGCCTACAAAACCGCTATCTCTACTAGCTTGTTTCTTGGATTCTGTAAGTTCAGATCCAAGCGGTGGGAACTCTGGGCGAGGTGTAGACCGACCATCTTCTCCCTCAGAAACTGACCTAGTGTCGTCCCGTGTTTCCTCAGGAAATTCTGTCGATTGACGTCGTTCGTCTGCAGGTGAGCCGCGCGTTTTTTTGTTTTGCTTTTTTCTTTTTGACTCACCTTGCATATCAAGTCGTTCGGACGAGTCATGTCGTACTTCTGTCTCTGTACTAGACCCATCTGATACTTCCTGGGTATCCTGACAAGGTTCTTCCCCGGTCAACAAGTTGTCTAACGACGAAGAATGCGATCGCGGGGTTCCACGAGCACGAACTAACCGTTTCCGCCGTTGCTCCGGACTCTGTTTCCCTTCGCTGTCACTACCAACACTTCCAGAACCATCTGAATCACGTCTTTCTTGATTGAAACCCATAAATCCAGACAAGAAATATTTTTCTAAACGGGAAGACGCCAGTTCATCATTATCACTATTTCTTTTCGGTTGTTCATTATCGACAATAGATTCACCACCCTCACTGCACACGCTTGACGCTTCCGACACTTGATCTTCATCGTCACGAATATTTCTCCCGTCGCCTAAGCCGAAGAAAAAATATTTTTCAAATTCCGTAGCGGATACAGGTCGCGGTTTCTTGGTTGTGTGTTCCGTTTCGCTTTCTTCGCAGCTTTCTTCGACAATTGTGTGTAAAGTGAAGTCTATGGAACGCCGACAATATGCAAAATCTTCCCCTCGGGTGGGTAACATCGCTTCATCCCCCGAATCTGTATCTGAAGGTGAAGTGGCCTCATCGTCGTCATGGCTGACGTCCTCGACCCATGAATCGTCGTCTGCAAGCCCCTCCTCGAGACACACGACCGCCGAGAGAGTGTCGGCATTACTAACCACAGTCACTCCGCTTGAAGGCTGTGGCACTTCGTCGTCGGATATTCGTTCTTCGGTTTCGTTATGTTGTCCGTTTGATTCTGGTTCGTTTTGTAAGTTGGTGTGATGCACTGTTATGTCCCGCATAAGCCGCGTCGTATCCGACGTGACTACGGAGACGCAGTCGTGCGTTATCATAACGCGGCTAGTGAAGCGCGCGGAAGCGTCCGTACGTGCGCTGCGCGAGCGGCAAACTGTTGTGGCGGCAGGTGCGCTTGCGCCCCCCGCCTCCTCCGTGCTAACCGGCTGCGCATTGTACATTTTCACCTCATCTTGATCCTCCATTAATTCTTTCTTTAACAGTTCGCTCAATGTACGTTGAATACCTTTAAATAGATCTATTTTTTCTTCGGTTAATGTACTCGATGGATTACCATACTCGGGTTCCGGTGATGGCGCTAATTGCATCGATGATTTGGGCGGAATTTTATTAGAAATTATTTTTTCGTTATTAAATTTCTCATTAGGCAACTCTACCGAGACTTTTACTTTCATGTTACTTTCTGTATTGAAAGTATTATCTAATAGATCGTACTTTTTGCTATCTGGTATAATTTTATGTTGATTATTGTCGTTATCTGAACAATTTTTACTATCAAAATTATCACTACTTGTACCGCAACTTGCATTAAAACTATTAAATTCCTCACAAGTTTCACTTTGAAGCATATTTTCGTCACAAAATTTAATAAAATTTGACATTTTTAATACATTATCACTTTCGTTACTATTGGTTCCATATGGAATAGTTTCGTGTTCCTGTGAAAAATTTATAGAATCTAAAAGTACTACACTGTAATTATCCTGTGAAATATCATCATTATTTTGCTCCGGGCTAAAATTGCCCTCATTTTGAATTGGCACTTCCAGAGCATTTATGTCTAAGTTATCAGTTTTCTTGTCGTAAGGATCATCACAGTCAATCCCGCTACTATCACCGTTATCTTCCATGTCTGATGACGAGTCTACAGGATTCACTACAAATACTCGTGAAAATCGTCCCCCTCCCCCTCCCGAGTCATCTGAATCTTCATCTGATGTCGCTGGCTCATCAGGTGCACCACTTGTCACATCATAACTTCTTCGTGCTATACCTCCCTCGGAATCACTCGAATCTCTAGATTCAGTCGATGAGTGGAAGGCTTTTTCTGCATTTAGGTGGCCTGGTACAATATCTGCCTGCTCCGATAATACTGATAAAGAGTCCTCCTCGGCTATCACCTTTATTCCGACTGGCGATTCGCGGTTGTTTGTTTGTTCAATAACGTTATCACTTTTATCGGTATCATGCGGCAGCGCTTGTGACGTTTTGGATTGTATCGCCTTATCGGTCCTTTCTACTGTGGTCATTTCCAGTTTTTGCGTTTGGGGTAAAACAGAAGCGGAGGCGGAGGCTGTGGCGGCGGCGGTGACAGCGACGGCGGCAGCCGTAGTGAGACGTGCAAGGGCGGCGGCATCTAGAGGTGGGAAACCAGGGTACGTATTCCAATGTGGCGTTGGTGGTGGTTGTGTTGGAAAGGCGAGTAATGTGGGCCAAAGCGCGGCAGGTACGGGAACAGGCACTGGCACTGGTACGGCAACGATGCGAGGTTCAGCACCACAAGAACAAGGCCTTGGACAGGCCTGCGGTGTGTGTTTTGTGGTGGGTGGTAGAGGTAAAGCCGCCGCCGCGCCCGGCTCGAAGTAATCCCAATCACAGTCGTCGGGCGCGGGCGGCGCGGCTGAAGACGCCGTCGATGAAGAGTCCTCGGTATCTTCACGGCAAGAGGAATCTGAACTGAGGAATACGAGGCGGTAGTCCTCGGGACGCATACGACCGGCCTCTGGTTCACTTGCCTCGGCCGGTTCACTGGTGACGCCCCACTCTGAAATCGAATACAAAAAAAAAATAATGAAATAAATCTATAACACATGAAAATAACAAAAATTATACTTAAACCTTAATTCAAAAGAATGACAACTTTAATGTTACCCGAAATGGTAATATTATTTGTCTTTAATATTATTAGTCTAGTCTTACTGAATGTTAAGTTACATATGGTTAAATTTAGTCCACTGGTCGACCACTAGTTATTATTATTATACCATACCAAAAACTAGGTATACATGAAATGGAACCATTTTTACTAAAAACATATTCACATTAGTATACAATTAAGTTATTTCTGATATCATATGTAGAAATAGGTGTAAAAAACATTTCTACATATACGAATTTAAAATGTTAATGCAAGCTTACTTGAGAGCTATAATTATAAAAATTAAATTTAAAAATAATAAAAAGGATCATTTATAAATCAACTAGAATTAAATTACAATATTTTTTGGACAGTATATGACAATTTTTATGCATTACTTCTTTATTTATATAATTATTATTTATATTTATTTAGATAAATTCAATTCTATGAAATTATTTCATTAATTTGAAGTTAGTTAATTGTGAAAGATTTCTAATTCAACGTAAAACGCCTGTATAACTTGATTAGCAACAAACCGTTGTTACCTAAAAGTCGTATTCAAGTGACAGGCGTATCGTTTACAACAGACTTTAATTAAAATTTTAATTCTTTTGCACAAGTATAAGAATGAACCTCTTAAGATTAAAAAACTGACTATAAAAAGGAATGGTATTATTTAATACAAGCTTAGCAAATTAAACTATTATCATGTTGTCTGTTCAGTTGTTTTCCGTAGACATTTTTGGTAGGGGCTGCTTGTCGTAGCGTTATTGAGGATGATCATTAATTTTATTGATACATTGATATGTCATTGAAATTTATGATTCCAGTTTGTTTTGGATTAGATTTGTTAAATTCTGTTAATCATAATACTCTAGGAGATTATTGTATATCTCATATGTACCTAGTCCAATTACAAATAACATTAAAGGTCGCAATTTGTTACGACAATCCAGGCGTAGAAAAGTTAAATATCACGTGAACGCTGATTGACTGGTTATAAATAATAATTAACAAATAAGAGTAACACTACTGTCTACTAACATTATTAATTAATTTAATAAACAACTGTGTAAATCGTAAAAACAATTTCAAAGTAATGGTATTTATATCTACGAATTGGTTGTCTTCCAAGAGTGCATAGTTAGAACGGATACTCTGCGTTAGGGTCTAACTTGTGAGTACTAGAGATGTCCAGTTCACAATGAAGCTAATGCAATTGTGATCGGTAGAAAGCAGATCGGATGGGTGGCATGCAGCAGCAGTTACGCTGAGAGTCGTGAGTTGAAAGTGACGCGCTACATGTAACTATCTCGTGAGGGGTTTATCCTAATCATGGTTGGAAGACAATTCATATGTTTTATGTATTACCCACAATAAAAGGTAATTCAATTGTACAAAAATATAGAAGTAAATACTATTGCTTGTAAAAAGAAACAAAGTACAGAATTATACAAAATATTGTGTAACCTAAAAAATATATTTAATCGAATTTAAAACTATTTTTGAAAATAGATGGTCATTTTTCGGTTCAGCAAAGCAAATTCATACGACATTATTTTACTCATTTTATGACTTTTGTTCCTTGTATATACGCAATCAGTATGTTTATTATAATCGGATTTGTTGCCATAGATTAACCTATAGTTACTATTTATGGTAACTTATGTATGTAAATAGAGATACTATCTAATTCATATAACTGTAGTCTTTTAACAATATGTTTAACATATGGAAAAAGGCGCCAATACTTGTCGTATACTCCACAGAAGTGATAAAACATATTAAATAGAACCCGGATGTATGCGACTCTTCAAATATGTTCAGCTACAATAGAAGAGTCGGCATCTTTTGAACTAATATGTAATTATAAATTATCATAATGATCCTATTTATTTAGTGTTCGTTCTGATCATTTCTTCCAAAGACAATGGTTATTTATCGTAACGTTAGAAAATATATCTGTATTGTATTTAGATGCGCTTGGATGTCTATTAGCTTTTAGAATGGCGTTTACAAACGCAGAGATACCGAAGCGAGCAATACACGATTTTCTCTAGCCATTTCCTACATAGACTATGGTCTGACAGTATAATGTACCATGCAATCGTAGTGCTGGCGTAGTTGCCTGTCTCTTTTATAATCAGATGGTTCCCATACGACCACAGTATAAACAATTGTCATTACACTGTTTGTAGTACTGTTACTAATTTCAGGTTAACGTATATAAGAATATAAAAGTGCGTAGCTATTATTATGATCAGTAATTATTATAACAGGATTATATGCAACAAAATTGCGAGTAGTATACGTACTATAAATTAAAATCATGCAATAACTGGAGTAAGGTCCTGGTGAACAATTAGTAAACTATGTACAATTTATTTTACAAAGTAGCGATGTGGCTCCAAATTAATACTACGTATAAAGTTATCTGGAAAGAAATTATCTAGATAATATGTAGCTTTTCTTTCTATTGTGAGATAATTAAGAATGAGTATAAATATATATATTATATCTGCGCTTTAAGGTATGAATGAATAGATGACGCAAGTTGAATATCTTTACGAAAGTTAAACCCCGGAGCGTGCTTTTGACTTTAAATGTCAAACATCAGGTATGACATTTCAAAATGAGAGCCAAGTAGGGTTTCTACCCGTACTATATAATATTTACCTATATTATAGTATTATATTTCAATCTATTTTACTAAACGATACAGAAATAGTATATTTTGTACTATATTGTAATTGCTAATTCAATTATAGCAGATTTTATATTAATTTTAAGCTAGGACATACGAATTTAATGACGTTGGCCTGCTCTGTTTATCACGCTAGTCAGTTATCATAGCTAAAAATAATAACTAATACTCAAGAGATATAAAATGACTATATAATATTGCTTAATTAAAAACTGTTGGCAACCCTAAATCCTAGTCATAGTACACGAAACGTTATGCGAATATACAATTGAAGTATGAAAAATAAGCAGTTAGTTGGCAACATGAAGTCAATATAAACGTATTATACCCCGTACACAACAACAAAGTATTTGTTCCTTTTCTACAAAAAAACTATTATATAAATATATTTTTCTTTGTAATTAGAATAGCAAACAAACAGATGGCCCACCTGATAGTAATTGGAAACCATTCTCATTCTTAACAACAGAATAGTGCTCCCGTCTGCGCTAACGGTCTACACTGCCGAGGCTGGGTATCAGTGGAGGATGATCTAGTGATTAGGTCAGTCTGTTCATCGTGACAAATAATTTATCACAATGGATTCCAGGAGGAACAGTATTCAGGTAAAACTAACATGATACATTGCTAGCAATTAGGCTATTAGTCCACATTACTAACAAGCCCCTTTCCCCCAGTGGTAACCATTGTCTATATACATGAACGGATATGTCCGGATATCAGTGTAAATATTATCATGTGGTACCACATGCATTGCTATTCCAGAGGACTAAGATTTACCATTCATTCTTTCCTCTTATCCTGTTTCACTATCTAATCGCGCCAAAACTATAAAAATCGCGAAACAAAACTTACTAAGCAAGCTGTTTTGCGTCTAAAATAGGTGAGACTAAGGTACCTGATGCAGACGACATTTTACTCTCGCTGAATTCATTCATTGTATTTTTTTAGCATTATCATTATCTGATTCAATGAATGTAGTTCTTACAGAGCAAAACTACCTGAGTTTTGCTTTGTAACAGCAATATATACTTGAATGAACTTCGTGTAATTATTATTAATTATGTATATTCAAATACGTGAAGCTATTTACATTGATAAGTAGCTCTAGAATATATAATAAAAAAGACAATATAAATACATTTAATCAACAGTGTTTAGTTTAACGTAGGTGAACCTACCGCCGTCTGTCAGATCATTTGGGAATTTGTTATTGGCGTTTCCTTCAACGGAGTTAGTCAGAAAAATAAATTGACTAATATATTTTTTGCGACAAGATTTGTACTCACAACCTTTAGGATGTAAGTCGGGGTAGTAAACCAGTAGGCCACGATAAGCTATCTGGGTTCTAATAATAATAATATTTGTATCATCCACAGGTAGTTTCATTCATTTGTTCACGTTCAATGATCCGTTAACATTTACCACCTGTTCCGTAGGGACTACAGTATTGTTTGCCGAGGGTTAGTTGCGGTAGGGCTTCAACCGGAAAGCCACTTCCTCTCATGGAGGGCGGAGGGGATTAATTGGAGTGTAATTTATTAGGGAAAGTAGTAAAATCGGTTTACTATATTGTTTGTTTTTCTAACGTAACCGATGAGAGTTAGAACGATGGATTTAATGGAATAATCTTATTACCAAAACATTCTTCTAATAGACTAAAAAATAAATTAAAAATGTATATAATTTTTAATTACCTAACTATCCTTTAGTTAGTAAGTAAATAAACAGAAAGCATTAATTCAAGTTTTTGTTTTAACATCAATAATACTAGATAAATCAATTTAGTGCGAAATGACAAATTAATGTAAGCTTGCAGAAATATCTATTAACATACTTAATTAATTTATCTTCGTGTCTAATAATAATAGATTAAAAGAGTACGGCCTTAAACACCATTGGTCGGATGGTTTCATTGTAATCAAATCACCATTCAATTGGACAATGAAAGTAAGAGCAGAGCATGTTGGCGCCGATTCAAGGCTCCAGTTACCTAAGTCGGCATGGACGTGGGATGCGAGGAGGTAGACCGAGGTCGCTGCTGCTATCTTATTTTGAGGCAAGTCCTAGACATTATCGTGTTGATTACATTTAAAAATAAGCTATTATATCTCCTAAATAAGGAAAAGTGTCTGATCTTGACAGTACTTTAGATTTAAGAGCAATTATTATTTTGTGTATCTTATTTTACTTTGATTAT